TGCTATGAAAAACTAAGGATGTTTACAGTGGTAAATTTTCTTCTGCTTGGGTCTTTAAAGAGTTGAGCTTCAGATTGACGAGTACCAGCTTAGCTGGCAAGTAAAAGTGGCTGATGCTTACTGCTGGCCACTTCACTACCATGCCATTGGTCTCAAAATTGTGGCCTTAAATTCCATGACATTCTTGGCATATAACCGACTGTTGTGGGAGTGTTTATTTGTTTAATAACCTTTTACTTTTCGTTTCCATAGATAGTGTGAAATAATAACTGCACTTTTTTATTTTCAAAAACTGTTTTTTTTTTTTTTTTTTACATTATGATATTTTCTAAATTCAATACCTTATTGCTCTCTTTGTTTTTAAAGTTGTAATTTTATACTACTTCTTTTCTTTCACTTTTTTTATAGTATCAGCAGTTAAGTGATTAGTATTTTAAATGTAAATGAAGTTTATCACTTTTTATTTTATATATATATATATATTACAAATTGTCAGATCTTCAGAATTCTCCCTAGGAATAAAAAAGGTTGGGGTGCTTCTCTCTGAAAAGGGCACTCTGAGTTTTGAAAGGGCACTAACTTACTTTATTTTTACATAAAGAGCAAAGAGGGCACATTTATTGGGATAAAAGGGCCACCCTTCAAAAATTGCTTCGGGAGAACACTGGGGATACACCAAAAAGTCAGATTGATATTCTAATATTTCATCGTTATTTTCCAGCACTTTCTTTCCTAAACTTCAAAGTACCTTAGAAAATCCTCGTGGGATAGGACCTCTCTTCAAAAAATCTGAAAGAAAGCTTCACATGTATATTCTTTATTGCCAAAATAAACCTAGATCAGAAGAAATTGTAGCACAATTTTTAAATTCATATTTTGAAGTAAGTGTTTATTTATTTTTTTTTTTAGTAATTTTAAAGAATTCAGTTTGTTTTAGCTTTAACTTTTTATTTTATTTAGGAGGTCAGAAGAAAATGTAATATTGAACATCAAATTCATGATTTGTTGGCTCGACCTGTTCAAAGGATATTGGAATATAAACTTCTTTTAAAGGTACAAAAATATATCAATTATTTTCTCCATTATTTATGCAATTATTATTTAAAATTTAAAAATGCTCGTATATTATTATTTTAACTTTTACCAATGAGCAACAATGGTTTAGTTGTTAAAAAATCGATGTCATTGTGACTGGGTTCATTTCTTAGTTGCAGCTTTTAGCTCACCCAGCTTCAGATTGATAGATAACAGCTTGTCTAAGAAGTAAGGCAATTCCTACCTAATGCTGACCACATTGCTATAGTCATGCCGTTTTTCATAAAATTATGGAGCCTTAACTTCCTTGTCTCCCCTAGCACACTCTATTGAAGAATTTTTTACTTTTTTTATTTATTGTTGTTATCTGGTTCATAAGAAAACTACTAACTGTTGTAAAAAGAATCTTTTTTCACAATATTTTTTAGAAATTGTTGAAATTTCCTTTAGTTATTTTAGTTTATTTATATTTGAAAGTACTATTTTTTTTTTTGTAGTTGGCACTTAGAAGTGCTACTGATTTAGAAGTTACATGAATTGCACTACCTCATGCCTTATTTTTAATGTATCATTTATCAACGTTGTGCACAGATTTTATTGGCCCAGGCACAAAATTACATTTAAAAAAAAATAATTTGTTTTTCTAAAGAAAAATACTTTAAGTATTTAGCTCTCCAATTATAAACTTATTTTTACGAATTATCATTAAAGATATGGTATACACACTAGCATTTTACAAAATGTCAGAGTTTTAATCATATTTTATTTTAAATCTTGCAAAGTCAAAACTATAACTTAGTTATAAAATTTTAAAGAAATTAGTTGCACTTTTCAAATGTTGATTCTTTAAGATAGGCATACACTTTCTGTTAAATTAATTTTACTATTACCAAATATGTAATTAATTAACTGAGAAATGAAAGTCGATTTGTTTCCCTAAGATGTTTATTTGTTACTTTTAGGACATATTGAAATATACTCAGATGGCGGATGTGGAAGAAGAAATTCAACAACTTGAAAAAGCCGTCCATACTATCCACTTAATTTATAAATCTTCAAATGATACTTTAAATCTGAACAGATTACAAGGATATCAAGTTAGTTTTAAATTTTCCCCCAATGGCTTTTGTTTGGAAATAAATTATTTTGATCTAAATACACTAAGGCATTAAGGTCCAAACTTTTTGGTCAATAAAAGCGTCTATTTTTTATCTGTATTTTGTTAATTAACTGTTTTAGGAACTGTGTACAAATTTCATGATGAAATTTGAATATTATTTCTGTAGATTAAAAATTTAACAACTTAACATGTAGAAAATATTTTCTAAATTATTATAACTGTATTTTTTTATTATTTTATAGTTACTTCATATTCTTTAATTCAATTGTGGCATATATCTTTAAAAGATCATAATTTATGATTTTCTATATGTATTAATTTGTCAATGCTTTTTTTCTTTCACAAAAGTTAACTTTGGAGAAGGAGGCATGTGACCCTAATAATTTTCTAATACTTACAAATTTTTAAGTAATTTCTTTTTTAAACCCCTAAAAACTACTTTTGTTTAAAAGTAAAATTATATATTTCATTTTAATTTATTTCAAAATTTAATTTATAATATTTAATGTTTTTTTAATTATCAACTAATAAATTCCATTTCATTTGAACATCATTTATTTATTTCTAATTACTTTTCAATGAGGTAGAATACCAGACATCTTCCGTTCGTAACCCTTTTTAGATTAAAGTGATTCCTTTTTTTCATTTCGTAGTCTATGCAACCTTTATAGTTTGCTAGCATGACACTGTTACAAAGTCATTTATTGTATATAATTTCTTGCAGTTAAATTTAACTGATTTTAATTTTACTTTTTATCTTTATCATCAAATTATTTTTCTTTGAAAATGTGCTTCGACATATGATCATTGTAACTTTTGGTGAAATGTATTATAAATTAATATTGGTAAGATTTTTATAAATGATTATTAATTAATTATTTAACTTTTTAGGTGAATTTTGCTCACCAAGGGCAACTTCTTTTTCAAGGTCAGTTAAAAGTTGGTGAACATGCAAATAAACTCAAGGATCGTCAGGTGTTCTTATTTGAACAAATCATTCTTTTTAGTGAGATTGTTGCTCCAAAAAATCAGCATTCTAGTCCTGTTTATGTATATAAAAATTCTTTACATGTAAGTATATTTTAGCTTTAAACAATTTAGACTAACATTTATATTTACATGTATTATATTTAATTGATTTTCAGTATGCTATAGAAGCGAGATTTTTGAGAACATATTTTTCTTATTCTGTTTTGCTTTATTCTTTTCTGCATTTGTTACATTAATAAATTTAGAAAGTTTACTAGAATCTTGTTTAGTTCAAAATGAAAGGCAGATTATGAAAAGAAAAAAGTAATACCTCAGTGCCAAAAGAAAATTTTTGCATAATATTTAATTGAAATACTTTAAATACCTAAATTGGAAATCTCCAATCTTAATATATAAATAAATGGTATTTATTTTATGCCTTGCCTGCCCGACTCGCTGGCTGCATGTGGCCTGTCATATTAATTTGTGCTGCCTGTGGACTGATATTGTATTTTTACTAAAAATTTTGTTTTCCTTTGCTTGAAAACGAAAAATATTAAGTAAATCAAAGTTTGAAGGATAGATAAAATAAATTTCAAATTATTGATAGAGGAACTACTTAAATGTAATATTAATTGTGCTAGTAAGTAATAATTTCACAAAGTAATCTTGGTCCTGTTGGAAATTACTGCTGAGTGTTAAATTTTGTTACCACAGATTTATAACCATCAAATTAATAAGACACACCAGTGAAAGTTGTAGTAAGGTTAGGTTGCACAATATAAATTGCATAAAATAAAGTTTATGCAATTTATATTGTGCAACATGTACCGGGCAAAATTCTACTTGTAAACTTCATCTACGATATTATTTATAAAAATTGTATAAATTTGCTTAAATTTGATGTATTTATTCTGGGAAACAAAATTTAAACTAAAATATTGATAGTTTGTTTTAATTTTCACATGTGTTCATTTATTTTATTTTGATGATAGCAAAGATTGCAATAAATTTAAAGTTAAATTTGTCTAAATAAAGGTAGCAAAATATCAAAACTTCAGGTTTTGACATATATTATAGTTAACAGACAATTTATTTTGGTTTATTATGATTACTAAAATTAACTAAATACTGTTATTTAACTATGTACAATTCATATAAAATATATTTAAATTTCTTGCTTTTCAGATGGATAAACTATTGTTGGATGATTGCAAAGATTCCAATAAATTTGTTTTAAAGTTAAAAGATTCTCCTAAAGATGAAGCATTTATTGTACAAGGTCACAGTGTAGATACTGCGCAAGAATGGAAAGAAAAAATAAGTTATGCGATTAATATGCAAATGGATTATGTAAAATGTAAGTTTAAAATTATCATTTTAAAACCATTATGTGCTTGGTATTTACTTTTCTGTAATTAAACTTCATATTCCCTCATTTTGCCAGTAATCATCAATTTTCATTTAATGTTAATATTTTAAAATTGTCTATGAATACTATATTATTTTTAAGTTAGGGATGAAGAAAAAAAAATGAAGAGTCTGTTTTGTGCATAACTCCAGAACCATTTGTGCTAGTTTCCTGAAATTCAATAGTGGGTAAAAGGGGTTACCCACAATCCTAAATATTGTTCAAAAATTTCAATTAGATCATTTGGGAGAGACATTTAAAAAATTGATTTTTTTTTTTTGGCTTATAAGTTGCCATTGAAAAAAATTAGATTGTTTACGATTCTGTATTTTTATTTTTTAAGATAACACCAGTGATGTATGTTAGCTTATATCTCTCAGGAGTTAAATGCACATTCTTGATGATCATGAACTTGGTAGTATAGGCTATGTTACCAAATTAGCATTTCCTAAAGCTATCCTAGTGTTGATTTTGTTTATAGTTATACATTTAAAATTTGTTTCTATAAATTTAAATAATTTAAAATCAATGGCAATTGAAATAAAAAATTTGTACTAAAAAGTTAAATTAATTGAAAAACTGTACTAGATGGTTTAGGAGAAACTTAAAAAATCGCCCTAGAGTTATTGACACCAATGATGCTTGATTAATTTTGGTAATAAATAGGAATTACTTGAAATAAAAAAAAAAAAACCTATTTACAAGAGTTCAAAATTAATAAAGAAATAGTACTAAATCATCTAGGCGACAAGTAAAAAATTGCCATACCACTTTTAATGCAAATGTTGCTTAATTAATTTTGTTCTTAGATACTAATTGAAATTTAAAATAAAGTTACTGTACTAAAACCAATTTAATGGAGAAATGGTATTGATTTGGCCTAAAAAATCACCAAAATATTATTTATACCAATGATTCATAATTAATTTTGATATTTATAACTAATTTAAGCAAAAACAATAAGCTATGTACTATAAAACAAAAGAAATAGAGAAATTGTACTAATTTGTTTTGGCGAAAAGTAAGATATTGGCACACCATTTTTGATGCCCATGATGCTCAATAATTAATTTTGGTAATAGACACTTAATTAAAATTTAAAAAAAAAAACTTTTTACTGTAAAACAGAACTAATGAAGCAGTGGTGCAATTCATTTAAGAGAAACATAAAAACTTGCAATGCCATTTTTGATGCCAATGATGCTGAATTAATTTTGGTAATAGGCATTAATTGTAATTAAAGAATAAGTTAATGTCTTATAAACAATATTAATTGAGAAATGGTTCTAATTCAGGAAAAGTTAGTAATCATTATACCATTTTTGACGCCATTGCAATTGATGCTCAAATAATTTTGGTATTAAGTGCTAATTGAAATTAAAAAATAAGCTACATATTTAAAAGTAGTGTATATAATGTTTATTGATAGTGAAAATGGTACCAATTCATTAAAAATGTAAAAAATTTCATTAGAAATTTTTTACATTTCAGCACTTTCAGCCAGGCTGCATTTTTCTTGTGCCAAATTAAAATACTTAGTTTTCAGATTAAAAATTCACTCTTTAATTAATATAGCTTTAGGAAACCAACTGTATTTAGTCTAAATTTTTGTAATCATTACCCTTAATATAATTAATCTTTGAAAGTATTTTCTTTAGGTCCAAAATGTATTTTCCTTAGGGTCTATAATTTATATTTAAGTTAAGAAATGGAATTGCAGTCAAAATCTGGGAAAGCACTAATGCAGAAAGCTGGATTAAGAATTACAAAACCAGTTTCATTCTCTGATGAAACTTGAAAATTTTTTAAAAATCCCCATTAAATCATTACTTGTTTATTTTGGTAATGAAACAGGCTTTGATCTTTTTTAGTCTCATCTTCCTGAGTTTTGTTTCATTAGATTTCAATTCTCATTTTTCCTTTTCTTTGCTTGAATATCAGTTTTTTAACTTCATTTTTGGCACAGATTCAAAAATGTAATATTAAGAAGCAATGATTACAGAACATCACGTCTACGAATAATTAATAAGTACATCTTACTTTGAAGGTGGTAGCTACAAATTTGTTTTTAAAACCTAATTTATTGTTGCTTTTTTATACCATCTAATGCAAACAATGCTAGTAAACGATAGTGTTGTATTTTTAATTAAATGATACCATTAAAGTTTTATGTTTCTATATTAACTTACATCAAACAAAAGAGTTAAGTAAAACTGTTAAATAATTTAGTGCATCATTTTTTGCCATTATGTCTTGGTGCGTATCTGAATTTTTTTCTTTTTAATATTTTGTTTAATGTTTATAATTGTTTTCAGCTCTTCAGTCTCCTGTTTTGTATCCATCAGAAATTAATACAAGGTAAGCACATGCTATATAATTATAAGTTAGCTCTTTTTATCAGGATTTATCTCTCTATTTATCCTTTGGATGTATATATACTTTACACAATATTAAGCTTAAAACATGTATCTAAAAGCTATTTTTACTATACTACTTATGGCATGAAAATTTTTTGAATGTGTTTGAAATTCAGGAGTCTGTTTATATAACCTTACAATGTAAAGTAAAGCGCATCTATGTATTTGCTTCGATTCTCTCTTATTTTTAACAAAAATATGTTGTAGTTAACTTTTTTTTCTTTTGCTGCAGTGTCTTAAGTTTTATTTAGGCGATGTGTACAAATTTTTAAAATATTCAGATAACCTAATCTTCTTTTTTTTTTTAAATTTACAGTTCACAAAGTAATTGCTGACCAAGGCTTAACTCGCTCTCAAAATAATTCAAGTCATTGATGTTATCGTAACTGTTGTGATACTATCAATTCCTTCAGTCATGGACTAAGTACTTAAAGAAAGGTGTCTCCAAGGAGCTCCATCATCAGTTGGATTTCTTCTGAAACATACTACAAGACCTATTTGGTCGTCCAATCTATGCAAAACATCAAATTCACCCCTTTCTTTCAGAACTTAATAACAGTTACTCTAAATAATCGCACCAGAAATAAGTGGATTTTCATCCTGTTCATTTATTCATTCGTTCATTCATTGCATTAATGTGATTTAATGTGCAGCTTTACTCACAATTTGTGTTTTATTTCAGACATGAAATACGTTTATGTTTTGCCTATGCATTTTATAACATGAATTTGAGAATCTTATTGTAAATATGTATATAGATGAACTGTTTTTTAGCTTATTTGACATTATTTGCCTGCTAAGCTTCATAAGTGCAATATTACCTGTAAGGAATTTAGTCACTTTCATAGGAAACTTTTCCTTCTATTGTAATTCTATTCATGGTTTTTCAACAAAATTGCCTTTGCATATTTGTATACTTGTTACATATTAGTTTTAATTTTTTATAGTTAATTAATAAAAACATGAAAAATTCACTGAATTCCAGAAATTTTATTTAACTTTTCCTGGCAAAATATCAGTTAAATATGAAACTAATGCAAATTTTATTTTTAAATTTCAGATAAATATTGTACTTCATTCACGTTAACTGAGAACTATGAAATAACTAATTAACTATTTTGGAATTTTTTTTCCATTTCATTCGTGTATGTTTTATTGAACTTCATTATTACGCTTTCATTTTTAAATGTGAAAGTACTTTAAAAATGCAGTAAAAACAAGATTTTTCTGTCACTCTTTTTGATAGATAAAAAGCTTCTGATAAATGTTTCATAGTTATTACAACTGTTGTGAGGATGAATCCAAAATATGGCTGATAAAGGAGAATTAAACAGAAAAAGATTTTTCCTGATTTATGATAGAAAAATAAAACACAAATATTTATAGGTCAAAACATTGAATTTAAAAAGGTCCAGATTATGTAAAATTTTAATTTACCAACAATATCCCTGGTTCCGAAGTTGTTGGTTAATCTAAGTTCTACTGTATTAGCAATTTTAATTGATTACTAGGTTCAATAGAGCATATATTAATGAATAAAATTACACAAATTTAGGAATATTAATTTGTAATTTAAAGCAAGAAATTGTGCTCATGTAATTCCATTGGTTGACATGAAGAGAATAGAATTCTTTTTTCTGTTTGAAGGGTATATTTATTGTTTACGTTAAAACTAATTGCAAAATTTAAATGTTTGTCATACCAAAATGCTATATTTATATGTTCATCAACCCCTAACATATGTGTTAGAGTTAATTTGAGCGTGCAAAACAAACACCTAGAAGAGAGGCCTCAGCATAGATCAATTTGGTAGTACGATGTAACGAACATAAACTGCGCAGTGGAGGATAATAAGAAAGATGACACTACGTTTGGGCTACTAGGCTGCACAGTGGGGGATATACAAAAGATTCCATCACATTTGGTCTACTAAAGGATCAAATTTCTTGTTTGTGGTAACACATGCTGAGACCTTCTCTCCTCTAGAAGGTATTGGCCAAACTATGCATATTCTAGATAATTCAAGCATGCTTAGCAGGCCGAATTGTGCACACTCTAGATAATACGAGCAAAGTCTTATTTTATGTTGCTGCACTGAGCTTTGCATATTTTTATTTTAGACAAAAAGTTTAAAAATGTGTTTTATAAAAAAAAAAGTTATTTTTTTCCTTCAAAAGTGTGTGCATTAAGGGATTTAGTTCTACAAACTAATTGAAGAAACATTATGTTAACATTAATTTTATTTTAATTATAATAGTGACTTTTACTTCAAAAACTAGCAGATGCTCCTAGGTTTTTTTTAATGCTAAATATAAACACATTAATTTGATAAGTTATGTTAAAAAATGCAGTTGAACAATAAGACTATTTATCAAATTTTTTCACAATGAAACAAAAAAAATTTATTGAAATTTTTAGAGCATCTTAACATTTTAAAGACTGAATGCCCACTTGGTAATTGTAATTGTGGTCTAGAAATGACAAGTTCCCTATTTGTATAGAAATCAGATGAAGAACCTTGTGTAAGGTTGTGCGGTTTAGTAATGCCTCAAGAACCCAACATCATTGATGTTGCCATAATAATCTTGCCTTCAAAATTTTTAAGACATTAAAAAGAATCAAAAAAGAAAATACATAATCCAGTCATAAATTTATTACAAATTAACAAAATCAAATCAGACAGAAAATGTCAGGTATTCCTATGTTAAAGAAAAATATAATATAGAAAAACACAAATAATGCACCTCAAAATTCAGATTGCACCTTGCAGGTGACAAAAATGCCATATAAATCACAACAAAAACCTCTATATCCAAACCCATTAACAGTGTGACAATAAAAAGATGAAAAAGCACTTTCTAAAATGTCAATGAAACATAGAGCAGAACTGTAGGTAAATTTACAATTTTAGATGAAAATAGCTTTTAATTAGGCATAATTTAAAATTCTAAACTTTGTGCATACCACAAAATAATACTACAAATCAGCTACAACCAATAGAAAATATGTTGAACCATTTCTATACTAAAAATCTACATTAGTTTTTATGGTTTACTTTGAAGAAAATAGCCGTAGATCTTTCAATTCAACTAACTTTTTAAGCTCTATCATAATTTTTAACAAGAAAATTCGAAACAAGCAAATATTATGAAAATAGAGAAAAATCTTTAAAGACATCAATTTAAAGTCTATGTTATGTGCTGCCTTTTAAGGGCTTTTTTTTTTTCATTCCCTGCCCCTATAGACCAGAAGACATATTTAGAAGCTGAGATTCTTATGTAGCTGCTTCATATGTTAAGCTCATTCGTACAGTTTTAGATTAATTAGCCAGCACTCTGTAGAGCATGATTGAACCATCAAGGCTGATGTGTGTAATTCTACTTATGTCCATGCGATGTTCAATCTCTTCAACAACTTCACCATTGACTAGAATACTAAATCCTTCAGAACATCCAATGATGTATATGTCAACTTCCTCTCCAGAAACTATTGGGTTTGGTTTTCTTAATTCTTCACCCCATGCATCGGCTTCTCTAGAGTTGAAAACCAACACAGAACCTTCGAAATCATCCCACCTTGGGTTAATGTGCATGGCAATATCATCATCTGGGCTCTCACCACATTGTAAATTTATGGCAAATCTGTGTATAAGATATTGTGTTATGAAGGTGCATAAAAATTCAAATTGGATTTCAAAAAAGTTCAATTAAGTTATCTAACCTAGATTATCAAAGTAACCTAGATTATCATATTTCAAAAATTTTACAAGAAAAAAAAATTTCAAGCTTGAGCAATAGTTTTTAATAAAAAAATTTTTAAAAATTTCAACCTTTAAAGAAATAACAGCAGATAGGGATTGAACTAGAAAGAGATAAAACTAGAAAAATTTGTTTTCAAAAATAGCTTTCATACTATGTCATACTTATTAATGAACAAAAGAAAAAGTAAATTTTAAACAGATTAAGACTGTCCACAGATTTTAAAAACTCTTGAAAGAAATATGAAAAAATATTTACATGTATAACTTAATTGCACATTTGCTTTGACACACTATTTCAAACAATCTCTGAATCATAAAAAATATACTTGCCGTGATGGATCATTATCAACTTTTCCAGAAATGTAAATAACTTTTTCAGAACCGAAATGTCCAATAAGTGGTAAAGAAACAGGTGCATGCTGAAAAAAAAATTTATTACATTTTAATTACAGGTTCATGTCTGGTAACTAAGCCAATTATATTTGCTATAACCCTTGATGGTTGTTTAATTATGAAGAAAAAGGTCATAAAAGTGTTTTGTTATTCAAGAAAATTAGATAAAACTTAAGTGTATGAACAAGTACAATATATGTATTCATTTTTAATTTTCTAGCTTACATGTTTGAAAAGTGCTGAAATCTAGTTTAAAATAAACTATCTCTAAATATATTACAAATAGTCTGGTTCTACTGCCATCTAGTGTATAGATTGAAGAGTAAATATATTTCCAGGCATAAATTAATTTATTGGTTTCTTACTTTTGAACACTCTAGCCCAGAAATGTCACAAGCACAAGAAATAGAAGATGAAACTATACTAAGTTATTTTGATAGAAGCAAAAACGAAGAGGTTGAGTGTTATTTTATAGTTACCAAGGTAACACATACTGTGTAACTTACATAAAATGCTGTCTAATAACCAATAGTTGGTTACCAGACAACAAAAACTGCTTATTATGATGCTAAAATGGACTATACAATATGCCTACAGACAAGAGAAACGAAATTCTTACTAAATAAGAACTATATACAAATGATCATCCTGTAAGGTTTCGTACTTCATGATTCTGGTACCCAGCTAACAGGTAAGCACCATAAATATAGTTATGGTTGTACTTTTTTTTTTAATTGTTATACAATTAAAATTTATTTGGTTGGTTCAATAAAAACCTTAAAACGAAAATAACTAATTAAAAATTTCAAATTGTGGTCAAGTCTAACATATAGACAAGACCCTTAGCTATACTGAACCGAATGTTAACAATATTATAATCTCTATATGTTAATAATAACTTTAAATATTATAAATTCAGTATATAAATACTATATATAACAATATTATAAATTATATATATATATATATATATTTTTAATTTTTCTTTTATTTTTTAGTCACGAAAATTCTTAGTCGCCTACAGTGGAAATAGTTGCATAATAAGAATAGTTGCATTAGAGAACGGAAATGTTAGTATATCGTATTGTATTTACCACCGCCTACGCCTTTGAGATTTGCATAATTTGAAGAATTTTGATGTTTTAACTCTTTTAAGCAGAGTTTTTATTGAACAGTTGTTTTTTTTTTTCAAAAAAAGTTTAGCAATTGTTTCAACGTTTTATTTATTTTCTATAATAATATTATGTAATTGTTTAGGATTAAAACTAAAATATAAAAGAATAAAAGTAAACGAGAACTGTCGAATCAGCTTTAGAGTTCTCACAAATCAACTCAAAAACACAGTACTCACAATTATCAAATTTGTCTATCCAAATATAATTCCATACAAGTCATAACTTTCAGTATACACTTGTTATTTTTATTAATTTTTTTAAGAATAGTCGAAAAAGTTTGAATTGTCAGGTATACAAATTTTTACATAATTCTAAAGAATGCAATTTTAAATGGTTAAATACGAAATTTGAGTAATATCGGTCGAGTAATTCCTAAGAAATCGAGTTTTGAAAAAGTTGTATTTTTGAAATTTTATTTCTTATGAACTATTCTATGATTAATGCTCAATTTTTGTGTTTTGCCATTTAAAATGATGTAAAAATTTATATACCTTACAATTATTATTTCTTTCTACTTTTATTGAAATAACTTTTAAAAAAATAATTATCTTTTACTAAAAGTTATATTTTGTACAAAATTATTTTTAGATAAACGAATACTATTATTATTGTGTGGAAAAAAGTTTTCAACTCACTTTAACAGTTTTTGAGTTATGGGGAAATACGCGAAAAGTGAAATTAACATTAAAGGGTCCAAANAAATGAAGGTATGGTAAACATCTTTCAAAAAAGAAAGAAAAATCCTAAAATCTTATGAGGAAAATTTTTTTTTTTTTTAAAAATCGCGGGAAAATGTATCGAACTTCGTTCCGGTTTTCTGATTTCCAGATAACTGATTTTTCCGGTTTCCTGAATAGCTACAAAAAGCCGTTTTTTTTATTGTTAAACCCAACTAAAAAAATTTTTTTTGGAAATAATCTTAAAAAGAAGAAAAAACAATGAAGTAATACACTAATGATTATTTCCAAAATGATGGTAAGGTAAACATCTTTCAAAAAAGAAAGAAAAATCCTAAAATCTTATGAGGAGAAAATTTTTTTTTTTTAAATGGCGGGAAAATTTATCGAATTTTGTTCCGGTTTTCTGATTTCCGGATAACGGGTTCTGTACTGTATTAGAATTTTTTTTTTATCTTTATATATCTGGAAAACAAATATATAAAATTTATACTTATATCAATCCATTTCTTAAATGTCTTAAGATTATAAGTAGGATAGTTAGAGTATTTTTTAGTAAGAAATAAAATTATAACCTAAATTTTAAGAAAAATATTGTTCTTTCCTTTTCTTCCAATCCACTTATTATGAATATTGTATGAACCTCATTAAAGTACATAATATTGTTAGTCATTAGAATACTTACTCCCCTCAGAGCCTGAGTAGTAATTTCTTCAAAAGTATCAATATCAATGTCTGGTACTCGAGGAGGCATTCTAGCCTAAAAGAATAATTCATATTAAAATGCTGCAAAGTAAAATAATTTTTAAAAAAAAATCCCATTAATAAATTACAAGAGTTTATAATATACAATTTTAATTATTTTGAAAGCTTTATTTTATATTAAACCTTGACAGCAACCGAATTGTTCAATCATATTTTATAAGAGGACTCAATCCCCTTCTGCTCGCAAATTCCAGCTCATATCACACTCTCATTTGATACATAATTTTTTCAGTCTAGCTTTGTGGAATGGTGATACTATTTTTAAAATAATGTTAAAAAGTATGTAACATATACATTCAGTGATTTATATACATTTCATACACATTTATTTATACTTCATTTTACATACACTTCAATACTATATGGAACAAATTATTTATAGAATTTCTATGTCAGTGTTTGAAGATAACAGTTATGAGACTTATAGACTTATAATTATATTATTATGAACTCGTAAAAATCAAAGAAATGAATTTTTAAAAAAAAAGTAAATAAAACTGAAGATATTATTCTAGAATTAAAATTTAGGCTGAATAAGCAACGCGAGCTATCCTCTAAATTTATAAAATTTCCCACCTATATTTTCCTAAATTAATATTTTACTATTCAATAAAAATATAATAAATTTCCATCAATTAGAGCAATTTTTATCTAATTTTATAATTAATAATATTTTTTAAATAGATTCCCTGATAGGTCTAAATTAATAATAAAGTGTCAGTTTTATTTTGAGATATTTTTATATCAGTATCTGTTTGGGTTAACTACAATTATTAATTAAGGAATTTTAAAACTTTCAAAAGGTCCCCTGCTAAAGTTTCTCATGAGCCACAGCTCAGAAGTCACCTAATATTTTGCATTATATTTGAGGTAGATAAAAATATGGAAATCTTTCCGTTTAATGTTATACTTTAAGCATTGCTACATTATTTGGACACCGGACAGAGGGTTTTGGACAAAATGGTTTAAGCTATTCCTTCTTAAACCTTGTCAACCCTGGTAAAATTCCATAAAATATTTGGCCCATTGCTTTACTTAAGGCCATTGAAAAGGCTATTGGATTGAAAATTAAATCTAACTGAATGAAATTAATGGTATTAGAGATATGAGGTACCTTTAGTTATACAAAATACCTACAATTTTTAAAATTGGATAAACCCTGGAATTTTAGGGATTAAACCTGAAATTTCAAAATTTAACTTGTGATTTTGAGGGATTTTAAAGGCAAACCAAACTGGCCTGATTCCAAGATAAATTGAAATTAATGTATGTTATGTATGCAATGCCTTTAACAACTGCAACATAAAAAAAGCATTTGCATTTGAGCAGATTGATATTTCAGTTTAAATGCAATGTTGTTTTTTTCTAAACACATCACTTAAAATATCATGCATTACAGTATTAAAAGGCAAATTTAAATGTAATGTTTTTTACTTTATTATTTGAATATAATAACTTTAAAATAAAACATTATTCTAAATATCAGCAAAAAATATATATCGCAAATATTAAAAAAGAAAATTTCATATTTTTATAAACTGCTTACACAAAATATTTAAAAAAAAAAAAATTTAAAAAAAAGGCTCAAAGCATTAAACGAACATCCTATTAAGCCACTTTACTCCTTAAGGCTGGGTATATATTTTATTTGAAAGGGCTAACATATCAATCTTATGACTGGTTAAATGGAGTTCAAATCTCAGCACTGATACTACAATATTTCATCCCTTCCTTCAAACATGTATGGCCACTGTACAGTACTTCTCGAAGTACAATATTTTTCGAAAAATATGTTCAAAGGCTAAGCAAAAATTAAAAAAGTTAATCCAACTTATTAACCACAAATAGTTAAAATATATGGATTCTAAGGGATGATTCCAAGTCTGCTACTTACGCTGAAAAATGCGAATGCATTGAAGACCAATTTAAACTCCTGTGTACACAATAAAAAAAAAAGCTTTTAAAATTTTCTTCCCAAAAACCCGGCTTATTCCAAATAATAAACAGAATTTTTTTTCAACCCATTGCATCTCTAGGTACCTCGTTTGCCCTACCAGGCCGGCATTTAACTTTAGAATTCTTCAGATTTTCTATGTATTGTTCGCCTCGTGCTTTAGCACGCCTAAGCCTGTCGGCAGCATTTCTGAGTGCTTTCCGTTTATTCCTTTCTTCTGCAGTTTCTCTAGAACGCTTCTCTCTCCTGAGTAAATTATGACGCAATTTGAGTAAAGTTTTAAGCATAGTTATAACAAGTTCTAATTCTGGTTTGTGTTCTGTATTTACGTAAATAGTAACAGTAAACTCATTTCTGTGCAGCTTTTGCTCAAATTTGTGTGAAACTTGCTTACAGAGCCTCAAGAAAACCGTTTCAGTAAACTCTTGTCCAGCTAAGAGCTCCTTGGGGCGCTCTGATCACCGTAGGGAAAAAAAAGAACCTGAATGAGTTATTCTCAGGATAATATTTATCACCAATTAATGTAATTCTTCCACGACGGCGATCGGAAGTGCGTGAACCGCATTCAGTGAGAATGGCCCTTAAACATAAAAATAAGAAGAGCTCGCGTGCAGTAAGAATTTTATGTATTGGTACAAATGCTTATTTTATTAGTTATTTCTCCTCTGCCTCAAATATTTTGAGTGCTAGGTTGACATTTATATATCATTCTTTTATATACTGTTTATAAAGGTACATCGACTTTTCCGTACATGAAAGCCAATAATTGGAATTCTCTAAAAGTCTCCTTCAAAATTGCAGAGAAATAAAGAAATTTTTTGTAAATTATCATTGATTCTCATACGCACAATTTCAATTTCGAAAAATTGGTAAAGATCCCAATTTGGAGAATTCTGATAAATTTTCGTATTTATCACAAACTATACGTGGAAGGAATAATTGCTGAGGAGTTTATTAAAAGTTTTCTTACAAATGGAGGTAGCTATAGAAAAAACCTAGAGGCCAACTTAAAAGTAGATGAGGGAGAGGGGAGCAATTCATGCAAGTTTATGTAAAAGATCTTTCTCTTGTCCTCCAAAAAGATTAGAATCAACGAAAATCACTGAGAGGGCTCTATGATTTTTGATTTGTAAGAGGTTAAATTACGTGAGGTGGAGACCCTATGCATAACCAGAGATAATTATGCTGCATCTATGTTGTTCCCCAATATAATGAGAAAATAAGAATCTAAGAAAGTTCATGTCAATAATGTGTGTTTTTCATAATAAAATATTTTACCCTGTATCCAGTTAAAAATCAGGAACTTTAGTTTGTTTCTGATTTGTAATTTAATTTTTAAACACATTACTTTTCTAAGTATGATTACATTAAGTTAATTCTATTCAGTAATTATATTAAATAAAGTCTCGATGATTGGCCAAATACTAAAAATGTTTATCAGTTTATGCATTTATTCATTAAATCAAAAAGTCAATAAATAAACGAATAGTCATAAATCAAATAGTCATTATCATCATTTAAGCGACTTTTACTGATTTGACTCAAGCAGTAAATAATTCTTTTTATGCTAATATATTATCAACTAAACGAGAATTCATAATTTTTTTTCAAAAAAAAAAAAAAATTTAAATGCTAATGGTGTCACATTTATACTTTAAAAGAACATTTTGATTTCTACTAATTGGGACGATTTTTTCTCATTCCCTGAGCAGTTAGGTGGCTGAAGAATTTTCTAAATCATCTTTAACATTTGATTTCCTTAACGTTTTATAGAGAAAAAACCGAGCGCATTTGCTTAGGTGTAACTGAAAAGTTCTTAAAAATTTAAGTGAATACGTAAAACGAACATGTCCTTTTAATATCGCTCATATACAAACTCTAATTTAGTATTTCGTATTTTATACTTCAATAAGTGTAAGAGTGAAAGAGACCAAATTAAAAGATTTAATTTGGTTTTTATACTCTTACATCTATTGAAAACATAAAAATTAGAAATACTAAATTACAGAGTTCATTAATGAACGATATGCAAAGAGCATGTTCATTGGAAGTGTTTCGGCAGATCAGGAATAATTACTCTGACTGCCTATGAGACCTCCATCCCTGGATAAGATGTGGATCAAGTTATCCATATCTCTTCCACGTAAAAGCTATGATGTAAGTCTAATAGATAGCTTTTAGATTTCGACTGGATCTTTCCTGTACCAAATATGGATGTTTTGTGGACGTTCACCTGGCGACCACATGAACCTACGTGGATGTTTGGGATGACGTCTAGGGGACACCCACTTGATGATTTTTTGCTATATGGGTTTAAATTCCTAAAATTAAAAACGATAAAGAGATAAAAAAAAAATTAATCTTCTAGCAGATATTAGGCTTTTTTTCTTGTCTGTGAAATTTAAATTCATCCCCCTCAAAAATGAAGTTCTTACGACATCCATGCAGAACAGTATAAAATGAATCCATCAGCTATCAACTTTTATAAACACTAGAATGAAGTTGAATTTAATATGGCGTGATGTTTTCCAGTGAAGCAAACCGGGAAAGTGTTTTCGTGCTACATTATAAATGAAGTAATGGATAAATATACGCACAAATGCTCCATCCCCCAAAAGAAAAATACTCATTGAATAATTAGATAACAAATTTAGTTGAATTGCAACCTTCACATACGAAGTGTGTTGACTTAAATAATTTATGTAGAAAATTTTACTTACTGGAGGACAATCTAGAACAATTTTTTTCAACTCAACATCACCTTCCACGTTAATTGTGCATGCACCTGAATAAGCCACTCTGTGGTTGAAGGTAGGCAAGGGCTGGTTATTCATCATTGGTATAAAACCATCTTTTGACACCACAATGCACAAGCTAAAATTTTCTCCAGAAGCGACGGGTAAGCCATCAAATCTTTCCTCATCACCCCAGGAATCAGCACAACGGCTGTTGCACACTAAAGCGTTGTCACCAAACCGAGGATTAAAATGGTACAAGATTTCTGCATCTTCTCTTTCACCACACTGCAGATTTACGTGGAATCTATAAAGGGATAAAAACTTATAAAATAAAAACTTTACATAGAAATCTTTCAACGAAAATAAATTTAAATTTATAAAAAACGAAACTGAAATTACGTGTTTAAAAAAAAAATGGATGAAACTTATTTGTATTTATAAAATGATAGCTATGGCTACGGTTTTATTTTGTTATTTTTAAGCAATAGGATGATGAATACAAATATATTTATTGAAAATAACAGCCCCCTTTCTTTCATTCAGACTTAACAATCGAACAATTATTTAAAATTCTACACGACACATTAATTTCAGAGCATTCATAAATTTTAATGGCAGAAGGCTGTGATGAAGATCAGTATCACCCATAAAAGCTACGAAATATTTAAGCTAAACATATTGTTAAGTTAAACATTTTTCTTCAAATTTCCAGATTAGCTTGCGGTCAAGCAAAAAGTCTCTCGTGTTTCGAAGGCAGGAGAATCTTCGAGGTCTGCTCCAAATGTCAAACTAAGCAGCCTTCTCCCAAACACATCCTGGACTGTTCGGGACTTTCCAGAGAGGACATCCGCCCTTCTGGTCCTTGATTTCCTTAGGGTCAATGGTCTGATGAAACTTGTCTGACTTCGTCAGACATTTGGAGGATAAGCCCCAACATTTTACTCTTTTTCTCTTCTTTACCATAAATAATATACAAAGGAAAGAAATTGTAATTCAAATATGGAATAAATATGGATGGTTGACCGTGTAAAGCTGAGTGCAGATGGCGCTAGGGGGTTAGAATTCACCGTAAGACTTCTGGGTTACTACTTCCGATTGATTTTTTACACCTAAGCTTGAAAAATGACCACCGTACTGTACAACAATACCTTGTATCAACACATCAGAACCAGAACAATGAAACAAAAATTTACCTGTCAGCTCCACCAGGAACATGGCCTTCAATGAGATAAATGTCTCCCACAAAAGCATTTTTGGGAATGCGAAGATTCAAAGGAATATTCTGCAAAGGAAATTTTATTTTAAACATGATTAAGCATCAGTGTTTAAATAAGGCATTTCTTAACGTTTAGTAACAATATTATATTTCAGGTGAATTCGATTATGTAAAAGCCTTTAGGGTTAAATTGCAAATAAGTATTGGTGCATACAATCATATAATCAATTAGCTCATAGGTTTAAAACCTTTGCAAGACAAATCTTTTTTCAATACTCTCTTAAAAAAATTTAACTAATAATTATTAAGCTAGTTAAAAAATAATTTCTTTATTTTCGATATGGAACTCTTAATTATAACGTAAATTTAGTGAAAATTCCTATTGATCAATGATTTTATATTTGAACTTTTTTTTAACAATTTTTTAATTAAACTTTTCGTGAAAAAAAGGAGTATTCACTGCGAACTTCTAAGTAGAGCGTAAATTAACTAAATATAAATTATTTTAAAAATCCCAAACTTTCGTTACATTATGTTGTTTAATAAAACGTTTCAAAATAATTTGTTAAAAACTCAAAAAGAATAGTTTGAATTCAGAAAGATGAAAAAGCTATGAAAAGCTTATATGTAGAAGAGCTTGCAAAGTGTTATTTTCGATATAAAATTGGTTAATAATCTTTTCCTCAATTAATTGCTGAATTAATAAATATACTTACTGATGATTGTTGAATAAATAGACTTAATAACATGTAATTTATGTAGAGATAAATATTTATTGTTTTTTTTATATGAAATAAGATATCAATTCTGAATCGTACTAGACATTTATAAAATTTTCTTTTGTAAGTTTTTACACATCCTTCTTTCCCAAATGCTCCCCCCCCTAACCTAGAAGTCTTCAAGGAATACTAGAGGGTAATATCAATTAGCACATTATATTTTAAGGCGTGGGGGATGACCTTGGTTGAAAGTTTAATATACTTCCAAATTATGAAGCTAATTTTTTCCCCAGATAACTGTCTTTCAAAAGTATTTATTATATTAAAGAACAGAGCTGGTTGGTCATGAGTTTGATCCTGGCAGCAGACAAAACAACTAGCGTGTGTATGCAGCAAGGTACACATTAAATCTGTCGAAGCGGAAAATTCGTGGTGTGGAAAAGTTGAACAGAAGTAGCAGCTGAGACGCTATCCAAGTCGTCTGTCCGGGTTGCCCGGAATCAAATCACGTGACATTTCTACCATGGCCGTTAAAAGATAGAGTTCTGAAAAACTGGACTAAGCGCTTGACTATAGTTGAGTGATATGAGTTCTAAAATTTTTCATACATGGCAAAAAACTTAAGACTTACTCGCAATAATTAAAAAGGGAAAAAAAACTTATTCATATAAAAAAAACATAGATGAAACACTAGTTAATAGCACAATACCCCGAAACAACTTGGAAATCGAGATCGAGGTGTTTCTTTAACAAGACACTCCTGTATGATTTGAAACTATTATTTCTCATTTCAATTTATATTTACACCGGAATTAAGCAAGGCCTGTTAAAGTAATAACCTTGTACAGCACGCAAAATCCTAAATAACTTTTGATCTAATGATCGGATCTTCACGTTCAAGTACTCAATCTTAATGGTTCGAGGGGGTGACCTCAAATATGTTAATTAATTGGCGCTGACGATATTTTAAGTTAGGAAATCAGACACAAAAACGTACTTTCTCTGAATAAACATACCTTTCTTTTCGACGGGTCCGGATTTTTGACCCCCAAAATATTAGCGATAGACTATAATCTAGTAAATATGAGGCCTATAGTTTGGTCAGGAGAGCGATCCAAAGTTTGGACCCTTAACGTAAAATTTTACTTTTTGCTTAGTTCGCTATATTTCGAGAACTCTTAAAACTAATTGAAAAATCTTTGCACACAATTATAAAATTCATTTATCCAAAGATAAATCGATGCAAAAAACTAAATTTCAGTAAATATTTACAATTTATTATTTTATATAGCTATAATCGAAAAAGTTTGAATCGTAAGATACACAATTTTTTACATCATTTTAAAGAATCCTATTTTGATAAAGTAACATGGCAAAATACAAAATTTGAGCGAAATTGGTTGAATAGTTCCTGAGGAATCAAATTTTAAATATACTACTTTAACTATTTAACTGATTTCGCCCAAATTTTGTATCTTGCCATGCAAAATTAGATACTTAAAAAGTATGTAAAAATTTATATACCTCACAATTCAAAAGTTTTACACCCGTTATTAAAGAAAATAATAAAAAATAGTAAATATTTACTAAATTTATTTTTTTCATTGATTTATCTTTGGATAATCAAATTCACAATTATGTGCAATGATTTTGTAATTTGCTTTCGATTAAAAGTTTTCGAGATATGGTGAAATAAGTAAAAAATAAAATTAACATTAGAGGGATAAGGAAGATTAAAATTAATTTTGAATCGCTCTCCTGTTCAAACCATGGGGACCATATTTCCCAGATTGCTGCTACTCCCCACACGATATTCGAATCCATCAAAAAAAAAGAGGTATATTTATTTACAGAAAAATTACATTTTTGTGTCTGATTTCGTAACTTTAAATATCGTCTGCACTAATTAGCATATTTTAGGACACCCCTTCTAATCATTAAGATGGAGTCCTAGAACATGAAGATATGATCATAAAATCAAAAGTTATTAAGGGTGGTCGGTTTTTTTTCCAGCACTGTACAACAATCTTACTTACAATCAGAAAACAGGAAAGTTCTGAGTTAAAGATATTTACAGGTGATATTCACTAATGAAAACATACACTGATGAACTATCAAGAGAAAACATACACAAGATGCCACACAGACTTATTGCAAAGCATGCAACAAAATTCAATCTTACTCACTATGGAGGGGAATGGAACGTAAATTCCATAAATTGTAACATCTCCCCACATTGCTATATGAGACACATTAGCGAATGGCAGTCCTTCTCTGTGGTTGAACTTAGCAAATGGATTTCCGTTTACTTCAACCTATTAACAAATAAAATTTTCAAACTTTAAATTTAATCAATAAAACTATCAAATATATATAGAAAAATTTCTTAATTAAAAAAAACTACGTAGTTTTGAAAAAAAATTCGAATCAAAATTTTTACAGATCTTAGTTTTTCACAAAAGAAAGCATTATTTAGTTACATAATCAAGAGTAGCTTCCTGTTTTAATTCGCTTCAAACAGTAATTTTCTCCTTTTTGTTATTCAGTGAATAACAAAGAGAAAAAAAATTCTAAAAACTCAATTCAGACATATTCTGCATCGACCTTTAAGAATTGGAGAAGCAAGGATAAAGGTTCTAGATGACATTTTAGTAATTCAACCTTGAAGATAACAATAATAAAAAAAAAGATTATGTATTGCCTACATTTTATTACTGAATGGCGAAATCTGTAAATCCTTAACATATTTAAAATGTTCATGTAACACTACTAACACATGGCGCTTTATTTGTTGCTTACGGTTATTCGTCAATTGTTAGTTGCATTTGGAACCTTCTTGACTTAAGAAAGATTGAAGATTGACTCTTAATACCTTCTTGAAAAATTGACTCTTAATACCTTCGTCCGTTAATGTCTGCCCAATTTAAAACACTTGGCAAAATATATTAATGCTGAAAAGAAATTAATAAGACTGAAATAAGATCTTCCCTCTTAAAATCTCAATTTTACAAAAATGTCACTTTGAACCTTCAACTGAGTTTTTCAATTTCAAAACTTATAAGCCATCCGGTAAAACATGCTCAATACATGTTTTAAAATAATTAAGCAGTAGAATTTTTTTTAAATTTTATTTCCTATGAGCTGCACAATCAGTCTTCCCTGATGAGCAGACCCAGGGTGTTCTCCAGAATTGGTATCCACTCTTTCAGGACCACCACATTGGGTGAAATACCGTTGGCCATGTTAATTTGGACGTCTAGTTTCTGCCACACTAGATGGCAGCACCGAGACTATTTGGATGCTAAAGTGCACTAGGAATTTAATTTTGCCGGAAATGCCAAGAGCCAATAAGGCACTCCCGGGATCTTTTACATGTCGCATAATCATACGACATGGCCGCTGAGGATTTTCTGCATCCCGAAAATCCGGTGTCTTGGCCGGGGATCGAACCCGCAGACTTTGGCTCAGATAACATAAGTAGTAACATTAAAAGTAATAATTACATCATAGTCATCATCTGTTGCTGTGATGGTGATCAAAAATGGTTGGCCAGCTTCAAAAGGCATATCACCCTCTCTTTCCTCATCACCCCAGGATTCATCAAGACGAGCGTTTCGGACCACGCACCCTTCATCCAATCGGGGATTGAAATGGAAATAATTGTTGGCATCGCATTCAGCATCCTTCAGATTCACTGCAAACCTAAAACAGTAAAAGTCATATCGTGATTATATCGCATTCGATAATTCATCGCTATTGATGATACTCGTGATAATATAGCATTCAAGACATCGTTCTTGATTATGATCGCGATATTATAGTTGTTGATAAATATCTTAATATTCGATATTTTATTTTATTTTAGAACCGCCGTTGAACAGCCAACCCAATTTTGAGCTAATGACCACCAATGCTCAACGCCATAGCCTTGTAATTTCGAACCCAATCTAGAAGACAAGGGAACTTCTGAATCAAGTATTGGGAGAAATTTGCCTTCGCGGAGGACTTTTTAATGGAACTAACCTGCATTTGCCTTCTATGGTGAGGAAAAACACGTAGACCAGCTACGGATAGCCTGAGAGCAAAGGGGACTCTAAACCATTATCCGTCTCCCACTGAGAATATTTTATGTCAGTACTGTGGTCAGTACGATCAGGGTGTGGAATTCGTATCGACCAGCCATCTCTGGGAATCGAACCCGAGTCACCTCACTGGGAGGCGAGCGCTCTATCCCCTGAGCCACTAAGGCTCATTATTCGATATTAACGGTATTCAATTGTTTTTAAAATCGTTGTCGCAATGTCTAAAATATAAGGGTATAATACTATATAATGCTCAGTTTCACTTAATATTTTGCAAAATACATATACAATCTGTCGAATTTTCCAAAGGAAGTAGACAGATTTACATACATATTTCCAGTATTAGAACATGCCACACACCGTTTTAAGAATATTTAGTTTTCTAAAAATAAAAATCTTCAAACGAAAATAAAAATAACTGTGACATCAGAAGAATGGAATTCTTTTTCCCCTTTAAACAAAACAATATCCTGCAGTCATTTTCTTAATATTTATCCTTGAAATTATTTATGATTCTTTGTATTGTAGTGACTTTTTTACCTTCACGCAGGTCGTCTAGGTTTGATATATCGAGCTCGTGGTTGATAAACATGAATAAACCCTTTACTTGACGTAATTGATTTTTTATCTTAAAGAGATGGGGTTTTGGAGGGGGGTAAGGAGTGTAAATTTCATACAGGCATCTTTATTGGCATAATAAAATTTTCAATTATCAATTAATTGTATAATCTATACATATATTTCCCACGTGTGGTACCGATATCTAGGGTATTTGTTCAGTTATTATATTGTTAAGTTAAATTTTGTTAACAGGTCATTTTGTTAAGTTGCCTTAAGTAATAATTAAAGCAGTGTTGACTATTTAGTCATACTTCGAGTAATTATTTAAAATAATTTTGCATTTTAATACATGTAAAAACTCAGTTACGAAGCAATCATTGAAATTTATTTTTATCCTTTCTAAAAACAATTATGGAAATTTTAAATATAAACGCTGCTGCTATGGTGCCACATATTGTCATATCAATTATTAATGACGGAGTTATTTTTTTTTTAACAATATCATATCTATATTATGCGATACTCAAGTTATGGCTCGATAAACATAGTAATGAAGAAACTGGCATTAAAGTTTTTGTGTTAAATTGGATAATTTGAAAGGTGAACAAACTGATCGCCAAAGACGGCTAGAACATATTATACAATCATTGGTATAATACCGTGTGTAAAAATGAAAATCAAGGTTTACTATAAGCACCCTCATTGATAACACAATTTTCAAAGTAAAAGAAAACATACTGAATAGCATAATCATCGAATTCGACATAGTTTTGCTGCCATGTGAAAGCGTATACTTGTTCAAAATCATTAGTTATAAATATTTTATAATTTGTTTTTGAGAAGAATTTAAGCTTAGGTTAGTATAGTTTAAAAAGGTTCGCTAATTCTGAAACTGAGCTATAAGAATTCGAAATTATTAGTGATCTAATCTATTAACTATTCAAAAATTATGCACATATTTCTGCCATGGTTTCATTATTCTAAAATTGAGTTGAGCATAACAGCCGGAATAAATTATGCCGCAGCAAACAAAATACAAATGCTATCATAAAATCTTGGTAAATTGATGAAATAACGCTATAAATTATGTCTGAGAAGATAAAAAATGGATACAAGATAGAGGATAAATCATGAAATTTTTTTTAGAATGCCTGGAAAGACCATGATCAAGAGTGTGGTGTTTAGGTTGCAACAGAAATTTTAGAAATACTGCAATTTTTTAAAAAACGTTTTTTTTAAATATATTTGGAATATGACAGCAATTATTTACATGTGTCATAAAATATTAGATAACTTACATAGGTTTTAAAAATAAGTCGAAAATAAGCATTTTTTTAAAAAAATTATTAATTTTAAGTATTTATTTTCAATGTGAAGAAAAATCACTGAAAATCACGCATTGAAAAGAAGGATTCGATACAAGATATTCGGACCAATGAAGGGTGGTGATGTTTAGAGAATTCAAGCAAATTTAGAAATTCAACAGCTATATAAAGATATTGTAAATATCATATAGGCTAAAGTGGTTGGGCCTTTAGATGCGATTTGATAAGGACACGGATACGATAAAGGGTTTTTTTAGGGAAGAAATGTAGTAAAATCCAAGAAAAAAAGTTTAGATAAAGTTGAAGCAGATCTTAAGAGGAGGCCATACCACGGGAGAAACGTTTCGTTGCAAATTCCCTTTCACCTCCATGAATTGTTAAAATTTAAAATAGTAGGGGAGAGTCGGGTAGCCCCGCTCACTTAAGGAGTATTGCTCATATTTCTGTATAATACTGAGTAATAATCAACATTTTTGTATGTTTCTATTGTTTTATCATCTAATTAAATAATACGAAAAGAATAAACCAAAAAAAGAATAGTTAAACTTAAAAAAATAGAAATTTAAAAAAACATGTTTTTCAGCTCTTTTCAAAATGTGTCGGGTAGCCCCGCCCAGTTACAAAAATTGTGTTTTTTGGCTATTTTTTCAGGTGTAAATGAGAATGACCAATGTATTGACAATAGATAAACCTCATTTATCATTTTTATCACAAAATTATTTTATTTATTACATATTTATATACTTTTAGTGAATTCTATCATTTAATAACAACAAATGTCATACTTTTTATCATTATTAATGTATATTAATATATTATAATATTAATATATATTTATATTAAATATTTAACGAAAATAATTTAATTTAAGTAACAATAATTAATAACAATAGTTGTTTTTCAATATAAACTTATTTGGTTGATCTCTTCTTATAAACTTAATATAAAATACTTCTTATAAAATTACAAATTCACTTTGTATTTTGATTGCATTCAAATGCTTCTGTAGATTGATTCGTTCACAAATAAGTGAAAATAAATAAGTAAGCAAATAGCTTATCATAATATTTATGATTTCTTGATATTAAATTTAATTTGGATATATCAATTACATTTTAAAAATATTTAATTTTTCATTTTTAAATATATAAATTTATGTTTCATATAATATTAAAACATATATTTGTTGTTAAAAATGCATATAACATTCAAATTTGAAGCAATAAAATAATAATCTTTGCAACCGTACATTTATCGACGAAATAAAATTGGGCGGTGATACCCGACATTCATGTGAGCGGGGCTACCCGAAATCCAATTTTTTTGTAAATTTGTAATTACTCGAACAATTTTTCACATATAAACTTCTTTCTTTGTGCAAATTAAACTTAAGACTACATACTTTAATGCTGTATGTATAGAAAAAATTATTTTTTTAGTATTAAAATGAAGTTTAATCGAAACATTCAACCAATTTTTTTTAATTTCATGACTACTGTATTCAATATATTTTCAAAACTATTGTTTACCATGTTACCAGCTGCATAAATACTTGAAACTTTCAAAACGATATTTTTTTAATATAACAATTAATGTCCGATGACCCATTGACTTGAAAAAATATTCTATACATATGAAATTGACAGTGGGCGGGGGTATCCGCTGGATGGGGCTACCCGACTCTCCCCTATAGAAAAAGTGAGTTCAGACAAAACTAGAGTAAGCGTTGAAGTTTTACTAACTGAAAAGGAATTTTTAAAGTATCAAAATGAAAATAAATTATGAAAAGACAATTTAGGATTACGTAATGGAGAAGTTTTCCGATAATTTGATTGTATTTTGATATTCAAAAAAACATTCAGCAATTGAAACTCGTAGCTTACTCTAGGCTTGTCTGAATTCACTTTTAATTTCTTCTAAGTTTTAAATTAGTTATGAAAGTAAAAGAGAATTTACGACGAAAAGTTTCTCCTCTGGCATGGCGTCCTCTTAAACTATGGAGTCACAAATTATAAAAAGAAAGCTGAGGATCGGAAAGTTTGGAGATTTGCTGGGACGGAAGACAAGATCCTTCATGTTTAAGGAGTCAATGAATTCTTTAATGGAAAGAAAAAGTCTCATAAATTAGTAAAAATTATTCCTTATACTATACACAAGCTTCTCCTCATCTCTTTGACTCAGAATTTTTATTAAACACATTTTTAATAATTTTTACATTATTTGGTATCAATTTAGAATAAAATAACTGAAAATATTATATTTAGCATATGTGGTTCAGAAATCCTGCTCGAAAAAAGGAGTCTCCGGAGTTAAAGGTAAAATCTTCCATATGCGACTCACTTCTAAATAATTTTTCCAATTTGCAGTTATTTGTAGCTAATTAGACGCAAGAGAAAGCTATTCATCAGTGAAATTTCTTTAATTTATAAAATCAATTATTGATAAATTTTTGAACATGAATGAAAAAAAAAAACTACTTTTTTGGATTTTATATTTTAGTACAAATATAATTCAGATAATAAAATTAATCTTTTTAGTTTAAACTGTTTTATAAAATTAAAAAATACCGAAATACATTTTTGCTTGTAATTAAAGAATCAGAAAAAATAAAAGGGAGACTAGTGTCCCCTCTGCGTCAAAGGTCTAAATTATGCTTAAAGGCAGGTATAGGTATGATAATGCTTGGTATATATTTTAATAAGAATATAAAATTATTAAAGTTGCAAATTATGAAAAGAAAGCTAATGTTTCTTGTAATGTCAAGGAGGGAAATAGTTTATTATTATTATTTTATGAAAAAAAGTAAAGTTTTAAGAATTACCGCAAATAAGGGCACGCAAATTTTACAATCTATACTTCTGAGAGATTTAATCAACACTTTTGTAAAAAAAATTTATACTTTAAAAGTATTAATTTTTTTACTAATTTTGCAAGGTGGCAAAATATTTCATTAGAACAGAACACACTTTAATGAATGAGTGATTAGAGACAGCTCCAAGTTAAAAAAAAGTAGATTTGATCATCGACATCAACCAATTATTTCACCAGAATTTCAATTCGAAGAATGATCACATCATCCCAAGTAATCGATATTATGACTTTTTAATCGCAATAACATTAACAATCAAACACAGAGATTCAGAAGATTGTTAACAATTCATAATCGTTAAAAGGAGGAAGTATTTATAAGAGATAAAAATGGAGATAAATGAGCCGGAGTTAAAAATGAAGTTCATTAGCTCAAACTCAAGAAAAGGTCACATGTTAAGAGTCATTTTGGAATCCGAAAAATGATCCGGGTTATTTAAAAAACCTTGAGGAATGCAGAGGCGTTTTATCCTTTACTACCTTGACCCAAAGAACCATTTAGCTTTTGACACTTCTTTAGAGGAGTTCAAGAGCTCCGGTCAAAAGAAAGCAAAATATCATATTTCATGTAATTAAGAAGTAAAATATAGAATCACTAGTAAAGTCTCAAAGACGACGAGGTGGCTTGAATCACGAATTAAAAATTAAGATTGTAATTTACAAAAATGCAAAGTAAACACAATAATATATATACTTTTTTTTGCATAATATGTGAAGGAAAAATATGTATGCGAAATGTTCTTACCTTGATGCTGTAACAAATACAGCCCCATGGATATGAATTTTGGTTCCAACTTCTAACTTGTTCGCTAGTTTAACTTTCAATGGAAATCTCTAAAAATAATAAAATATTTAGTTAGTTTCTTAACTAATTTCAGTTAAAAAATATACAGAATTTTAAAATTTGTATAAAAAAATCGTTTTGAACCAACTATTCTAAAATGCAATTTTTGTGTTACATGTTTACCACAAATATTTAGGGCGATATCGTTTGTAATAAAAAATTGAACAGCATTCACTATTTGACGAAACTTGCGCACTTTATTGTATTTCACGGAAAGGGCAATCAAGATTCGAAAGATTAAAATTTATAGTAGAGAATAATAGCACTTACACATAACATCCTGCACGCTCACACTCGAGACCGTCTAACGTATTGGACAACATTTGGCATAATTTTATCACATATTTTATAAATATTTTATAGTTTTTTCCATTTCTCTATCTTACTACAAAAAGATTGTTTATATAAAAATTAAGTTGTTTTACGCTTATTGGTTGGAGTTTTCAATTACTATGAAAAACAAGAAACTTTATTCTAGTAATTTTGTGAACAGTTTCGTGGTATATAAATATCCTATTTGAGTTTAGTTGATTTTATTTCATAACCAAAATGTGAAGAAATACAATATAAAAATATTCTACAATACATAAAAAATGCTAAAATATTAAAATGTATAATTTTTTATGCAATAAATAAATATAATTTGAAAAATAAAGTTTAATAAACTGAAATTAAAACTTTTTCACATAAGTTTATGTTAAGCTACAAACTTGTTTCAAAGCTAGGGCGTTGCAGGGACCCAATTTTTGAGGGGCCCTGAAGTCAAATTACAACCACAATAATTCTAAACTTTCGCACGTAAGAAAAAAAAATTCTTAAATGTACTAAATATTGGAAAAAAGATTAATTATTTTTATCTCTTTCTTTACTTTTTAACGTATATTTTTCTGAAATATTGAGGGGAACTTTTAATTGTTTCTAATTATTGAGGAGGGGGGGGCATATATTCTCCGTCACAACCCCAACGACGTCAATGTTTCCAATAAAAATCGCATAATTTCTATTATTTAACCCTTTGACGCAGATTGACACTAGTGTTCCTTTTATGCTTTTTTTTTCTGACGCTCTTCTAATTACAAAAAAAAATATATTTTTGTATTTTTAATTATAAAAAATAGTCTAATAGTTACTAAAAAAACCTTGTTAGATTACTGGAATTATATTTGTACTAAAATATAAAGTCTAAAAACAGTAGTTTTCATTCATATTTACAAAATTTTCGATAGTTAGTTTTGTGAATTAAAGAAATTTCAATTGATTGATTGATTTATTGAAATTACATACATTTGCTGACTTGTGTGCTCAATATAGGCTTATAAGTCATTGTCAAGTAGAAAATACAGATAGAACAATTCAGAGAAAGACATCACAAAGAATACATCCAGGGTTACGGCGGGACTCGAACCCGCTACCTCCACGCTTAACAGAGCGTTTGGACCGACGATACCGCTCGACCAGGGAGGCCCCAGAAATTTCAATGATAAATAACTGTTTCTCTTAGAATCGAATTGAATGTAGGGTTTAGTTGCACAAAGTCCAAAAGTGGACATGCTGCGCCAAACAATACAGTAAAACAGTTCAAAACTGTTTCTCTTAGATCTAATAACTGATAATAAGTGCAAATCTGAAAAATTATTGTTTGGAAGTGAGCCATGTTTGGAAGATTTTACCTTTAACGCTGAAAAAGTCCTCGACTTTTCATGCTATATTTTATAACCATAAATTATTAAAATGCTAAATATAATGTCTTTCGCATTCACCTAAATCAATACAAAATAATGAAAAAAATATCAAAAGTATGTTTAAGGGTTAAAGCTCGGATCTCAGGAGTTTAAATTAAAACTTTAATTATTTATAGACCTCAGAAGCTATTTGGTGTACTATTTCTCTACCTTTGTTTTCGGCTGTCTTATTTTCAATAAAAATTTCAAACATTATAACTGCTGTGTTTTTTAAAAAACTGCAAAATGAAACAACAAAATTTTATTTTATTGATCTTTCGTAAACTATATTATATATATATTATGCAGAACTATTTTCATTTGACAATTATGCAGAAAACAGCGCTAACGCGTCGATAATCGTAACTTATTTCATAAAAAATTGTCATTCATAAAAAGAACTGCGTATTGCACAGATGGAATGCAAGTTGCAACAGTACTTTAACTAAGAAACAATAAAAACTAAACCAGTGTTATAAAATTTTGTTTACAGTAGCCTTAAATAAATTAAATTGAGCCATGTAAAAAGAACCCATTGCTTCAATGAACATTAAGCCCAATGTAAACAATGAATCTCGTAAAAAGATAGCAATAAAGCAATGCAGGAAACTTTATTGAATCTATGAGTCATCAAATGATTCTATTCTCTTCCACGCGCTGGAAAAAGACAGAACGCCAGACAAGCTACAGAATTAGTTTCATTGAAACTTCCTTTTTAAAAACTTGTTTTCTCTCTTTCCCACGCCATTTTCATCGTGTCAAGACCATAAACTCATGTCCAGAAAGAATCGGAATATATCCATTTACTTCGGGAAACCTTCCTCCTTCGCAGATAGTTACGAAAATGTTCTACTTTTTATTTATTCATTATTATGTATAATATATAGGTTAATTTGATAGAAAACGTACTCACTTCTCGGCTCTACAGTCCTTTGATAGAACACAGACTAAAATGAATTTTTAACGAATTTTTTTATTGATTTATAAAATTTACAGTATAGTGATTTGTGTATGAGTAATATAATGGGTAACGAAAGGGTCGTGAATATCACATACTTCTTTTTTTGGTCGAAATTTTCAATGGCCGTTTTATTAAATTTCGTAAAAAAGGCAACCTCAGTATTTCATTTGATAGCTTGCATAATCATGCTTTGTTAAAACAAATCTTCAACGTAAAAAAGTCCAATAACTTTATATCTAATGATCTAAGCGGCGGTGGCTCAGGAGATAGAGCGTTCGCCTCCCAATAAGGCGCTCTAGGTTCGAACTCTAGTGATGGCTGGTTGATACAAATTCTGTTCCCGGCTCTCAACGACCATAGTGCTGACGTGAAATATCCTCAGTTGTAGATGGATCATGGGTTTTAAAACCCCCTTGCCATCGGACTAACCGTGGGCGGGCTAACCGTTCCTCCTTATATATCGTAAACGTAGGTCAGCACCATCGAAAAGTCCTTCATGAAGTAATCTTTGACACCTTGTCTTTTGTGTTGGATTCAAAACTACAGAGTTAAACATTAATAATTGTAAACTCAAACTTTTGTCGGCTGTTCAACGCTGGCTATAAAAATTTAATGATATGGGAGGCAAATTTTTATAATCAAAACACGAATGGTACAATAATGCTTTAAATGCTGTTCAACAATTAAAAAAAAAAAAAAAAAAAACATTCTTTCGGGCAGTGATTTTTTTTCTAACCCTGCACTACCAACTCGACTTGTTTCATTTTCTTACTCTTTTTTTAACGTTGGTAAGATTTTATAGCACAAATGGCAAAAATTCTAGTCTTGTGTGAATTTCGACACACACTTTATACCTATATTAATTAGGGTTAAACACTTAATCGCCGCATAATTCACTTTATACTTGGTGAATTACTTCACAGTACAATTTTAATCAATGCAAAGATAAATTTTAGATTTGTTCAACAAAAAAAAAGGAACTTTCCTAGTTTTGAATTATATGGATGTATTAATTCCTTTTAAATCTACAAAAATGCATAAAAAAATTCTTTAGTGCACCTTGGCAGCGTATCAAGCACAAAATAGTTTTACCCAGCAAATCGTTTTCCTTACAAGGATACAATTACAGCAGAGAAACAAATAATCAGGCAACCTATATACGTTTTTTTCAAGTTCGTAAAAAACCAACCGGTAAGTTATGTTAATGATACAAAATTATTATTTTCATATGAATATTAATTTCATATTTTTTTACTCATTTTAAATATTCACGAAATATTAACCATACGAACATCTTCAACAAGGTAGCACAAATAAGGTAGCACAAAACAACTTAAGTAATTGATTTTCCATTTAGAAATTAATTTCATATGTCGTGGAACGAGCAGAAAGAAAAGATTCAAAACAATCAACAACTTTGGATGTAATGTTCGGATTTTCAAGTAAAAGCCTTATAAAAGTTATAGAGCTTACCTAATTCATGCAATATAATACTTTTTAAATTAGATATAAAAACATGTTTTTTCTGAATAAAAAAAACTATTTTAATTTACCATATTTACCCTACAAATATGAAGTGTAGCATCAATATGAACTTGAAGTTCAATCTATGACAGGTGTTTTAGATTTGACTTTGCAAATCATATTTTTACTCATATGATTTTTTTTATAATAGCATACAAATTTGCAAGAAAATATTTTAATATAAAAGAAAACTTTAATTTTATCACTTCCGAATCTATAATAAATTGACTGAAGACTTTCCTAAAAATAACAATCTAGTAAACGTATTTTCTAAAAATTCTTAATATAAAGAAAATTGTTTTTGTCAGTTTCTTTCAAATTTTCAATTAGAATTAAACACTTTAAACGCGTCAATAAGAGCAATGTTACGTGGAGGCTGTGAGTAAAAAATATCTACACAAAAAAAAAAATATCCAAAATTTGGAAAATACGTCCCACGGAAACATTTCAGATTTTTAAACAATATATTGTTTCGAATTCGCTTTTATACTATCGCAATACAGTTATAGTAGTTTAGAGAAATAGGATTCATCTGTTTCTGGGACCAACACTTCATATTTAACAATGAAGAACATTAACAAAGCCGGGAATATTAATCTTAACTTGTATATCTTCTCCTTTATCATTCACCAACTGAGCAAAAATTAAAAAGTTAGTATTTTTGGGCTAAAAAAAAATTAGACATTTTTGAAACACTAATTATTGGGTTTATAAGCACCTTAAGTGTCTTGCTAAAAGAGGTTGACGGCGGCAAGTGTACTCTTGCTAAAGGTTCTACCATTGA